CGCCAGCGACGAGAACTATTCGATCGGCCGAGGCGCCTTCAACGGGGGCGTCGCGGACTGGGCCGACGCGGTGATCGATGAGGTGCGGATCAGCGACACCGCTTTGGATACGTCGGAGTTCCTCTTTGCCGCCGTGCCTGAGCCGAGCTCGCTGCTTCTGGTCGCCATGGGCGCCGCTGCGCTTGGGGCGCGGAGCGTGCGTAACCATTCCTAGTAGATAATGGCTCGGCGGGGTCGTTGGGGTGGCGGCCCCGCCGAGCAACCTTATTCAACGATTGTTGCTTCTCCAAGGAAGACAGAGATGAAGACCGAACGGCCATTCCCGAGACCTACGGCCAAGGCATTCACGCTGGTGGAACTGCTGGTGGTGATCGCCATCATCGGCATCCTCGTCGCCCTGCTGCTCCCAGCCGTGCAAGCCGCGCGCGAGGCGGCCCGGCGAGCCCAGTGCACCAACCAGCTCAAGCAAGTGGCCTTGGCGTGGCAACTGCACCACGACACCCATGGATTTCTGCCCTCGGCAGGGTGGGGTTATCTGTGGACCGGCGACCCCGATAAAGGGTTCGGCGCCTCGCAACCGGGGAGTTGGGCGTACAGCAGCCTCCCTTTCATGGAAGAGTCCGCACTGCACGACATCGGCGCGGGGCTGACGGGCGCAGCGAAGATGGAGGCGCTTGGAACAACCCTGCAAACGCCGGTTGCTACCTTCTATTGCCCTAGTCGTCGCGCCCCAGCCGCGTACGCCAATCCTGACTCAGTGTATGGACCCGGGGCGAACCACAATACGGCGGACAGCATCGCCCGGATGGATTACGCCGCGAATCTGGGGCCAGAGATTCCAGTCAGCGGCTTCGGCCAGACGCCTCCGACATTCGGTCGTTACACCCAATGGAAATCAGGGCCGCAGAACGAAGCCGCTGCGGAAGCCGGCGACGGCTTCTATACATTCAATCCCCTCAAGTACTGCCACGGCATCTCGTTCCAACGGAGTGAGATCAACTTCCGTCAGATCACCGATGGCACGTCGAAGACGTACATGGTGGGCGAGAAGAACGTCAACCCGGACTACTACTTGGGCGGCGCCGGCACGGACTTCGGTTTAAAGGACATTGGCGACGATCAAGCCGCATGGGTCAGCGACGACCTCGATGGTAACCGCAACACCGAACTCCTTCCCCTACCCGATCAACCCGGAGTGCCGGCGCAGCTGGTCTTCGGCAGCGCCCACCCCGGCGTCTTTCAGATGTCGTTCTGTGATGGGTCGGTTGTGAGCATGTCCTACTCGATTGAACAGACCGTCCACAACTCGTACGGCACGAGGAACGGCGACGAAGTCAACCTCGGTCAGTGAATCAGACCCTTCCAACGACAAAGCACGAAGCTAAGACCTATCCCATGCGATTCTACGATAATCTGCCGTGCGGCTTGATCCTGGCTCTGGCGGCCTTGCACCTCGGCTGCTCTTCTGGCCCGGGCCGTATCGCGCCGCCTAGCGTCAACGCCGGAGAGGCCGCCGCCTCCGCTGTCGAAGAGTTTGACGCCAATGGTGACGGCTTACTTCAGCGAGAGGAAGTCCGCGCGTCCCCCGCGCTGGTTCATGCCCTGGGAGTGTATGACGCCGACCACAACGGTGAACTGACGGTGGAGGAAGTCCAGGCCGGCATCAATCACTGGGCCGCCAGCCGTACCGGAGCGATGATGCTTCCCTTTCGGGTGTCACTCGACGGGCGTCCCGTAGCCGACGCCGAGGTGAAGCTCATACCGGTGAGTTTCTTGGAAGGATCGATCCTGCCGAACGTCGGCAAGGCCGACCAAAACGGCGCCGGCATGTTGGGGCTCGCCCCCGAAGACCGGCCGAGCAACGCCCCCTCTACTCCATTGGCGACGCCGGGTCTGTATCGAGTGGAGATCACCGATCCGAGCGGCAACGTCCCCTCGCAGTACAACACCGAATCGACGCTGGGGATTGAGACTTTCGTCGCTTCTCGCAACCCAGCGGGGATTCACTGGGACCTGCAGTCAAAGAAGAAGTAGCGACCGCTGGCGGGATGACGGCGCCTTGAGGCAGACGCCGGTAATACGGAACGAGAGGTAAAACGCGGCTATGCAGACATATCGAAGCAATCGTCGATCGGCTTGTCAGGCTGGGCGGGTCACACGAATCGAGCAACTCGAACAGCGTACCGTCCTCTCCGGGGTTGGACTCGTCGGGCAGTACTTCCACAACGAGGACTTTACCGGACTCGCCTACGAGCAGACCGAAGCGATCGACTTCGATTGGGGCAATGGCTCGCCAGCGCCGGGAGTCGCTTCCAGCACGTTTAGCGTGCGCTGGACGGGGCAGGTCGAGGCGCTGCATTCCGAGCAGTACACGTTCTACACGACCAGCAATCAGGGCGTGCGGCTGTGGGTCGATGGACAGCTGCTGATCGACAACTGGGAGCCGCACAACGCCGAGGTCGATTCGGCGACGATCACGCTCTCGGCGGGGGAGAAGTACGACATCCGTCTCGATTACTACGAACAGTTCGGCGCCGCCGAGATCCAGCTCGAGTGGTCAAG